TTTCCCTTGGTTTTGGGAGGTGACCCCCCCTGTATTTTTAAACTGAAAAGAACAGATTACCCACTGCTTTTGAAATCACTCTCCATGATGAGTACAATACCTAAAAGATGTGGTGATTATTAAAACATTTAACAGATAAAGAATGAAAGGACTAAGTTAATTATTGGTCAAAAGTGAAGCTTTCAACCAATAAGTCCACTAAAATATGATCAGGCATGTACTTACAGTAGTGTTGGGAGCTGTGAGTCAAGTGATTTACTGTTTGACCGGAGCCCCACATGTCACCTTTTTTTTTTGGGGGGGGGGAGAGGGAGGGGAAGGGATAGCGGGAGCTAGACTGACCCTACCTTGACAAGCAGCCGGCAATCCAACTATCACTTTCGGGGAGGGGGAAAAAGGGGGGAGGGGGAATAGCGTGAGCTGGACTTACCCTACCTTAACAAGTAGCCTGCAATGAAACTATTGTTACTATATACTCCCTCGCTACTCCTATCTACTCCTATCCCAACACCTGAAACCCATTCTCTTTACTGACAACACGACTTATGTCATCTCTCACCCTAATCTTGCCACCCTCCACTCCATTGTTAACGAGGAGCTGATCGAAATATCGACTTTGATGACAGCCAATAAACTTACGCTTAACACTGACAAAACCTCCTATATTATGTTTGGTAGCAGAGCAGGAGTTGCACAAATTGACATTAAGATCTACAACACTCTAATTACCAGACATAATGAGGGAAAATTCCTAGGCCTATACCTTGACAACAACCTGAATTTCAGCACCCATATCCTTCACATAACCAAAAAAGTATCCAAAACGGTTGGGATCCTCTCCAAGATACGATACTACGTGCCGCAAAATGCCCTTCTCACACTATACCACTCAATTATTTATCCATACCTCACCTATGCTATTTGTGCTTGGGGATCAACTGCAGCAACACACCTAAAGCCAATAATAACCCAACAAAAAGCTGCAGTAAGAATAATCACTAAATCCCATCCCTGGCAACACCCCCCCCCCACTCTTCATAGATCTTAACTTACTCCCTGTTCAGTACATCCACACTTCCTACTGTGCAATCTACATCTACAGGACCTTAAATTCCAATATTAACCTTGACCTAAAACGCTTTCTTGATAGCTGTGACAGAACCCACAGGTATAACACCAGACACAAACATCTCTATTACATTCCCCGTGTCCGACTAAACCTTTACAAAAATTCAAAGGCCCTAAAATCTGGAACACCCTACCTGAAAACTCTAGAACTGCAGACACATTCATCACCTTCAAAACTACCATTAGAAAACATCTTATCTCCCTGATACACCCCGTCAACTAACAACACGAATACCACCTGGTGGTTCACGCTTACACTCACTCACCCATTTGACCATAAACAGAAATATTAATCTCAATCTTAAAATAATGAATCCAAACTAGTCATAAGTTGGCCTGTGATACTCCAATACTGAAACTATGTACTAGCCCAAAACAAAAGCATTCACATTGCTAAACTCACAAACTAGTATTTAGTCACTTAGCCATAATACCAACTTACCTCATAATTTGTAATATTTTAAAATTAAGAATTAAACTAAGTCTGCCCGAAATGCCTAACCATGCTAGGTGTTCTAGTGGTACACTCTGTATTTTACTACATGTAAACCACACAATAACCAAATTCCGTAAACTCAGCATTGTAATTCTTATAGAGAATAAACTTTGAATTTGAATTGAAGAAAGACATCAATATGTATATGGAGATGAAGTCGCCCTTCATTGACTATCATTAAGAAATTTGAGAACCTCATCAAGAGGGACATTAGTGAAGAGGGACTCCACTTCAAGACTTAGTATTTTACATGTTGGTCGTGGCCGAATACGTTTGAAGTCTTGAGTAACGGAGGTCAGGAAAAGGAAACGAAGGTTTTGGCCAGATAAGAGGCGTGAGAATGAGAGAGAACCTCTAGAGGAGAGGATGGGATATAGATACCAGGTTTACGAATTTTAGGAAGACCTTGGATGTAAGGTAGAGAGGAACAGATAACTCTGGAATGCTGAACAAGATCAATGTCAGGGGAACAGAAATCGGACAGAGTATGTAGTTCATAGTTGAAATTTCTCTTGATACCCTCAAGAGGGTTAGAAACAAGTTAAGTCTCGCCATTTCGAGGTAACCCTCGCGATTAAAAACAACCAATGAATTGCTTTTGTCAGAAGAAAGAATGACAATATTTGCATTAGATTTAGAAGAAAGGGCAATTTGATAACGACGAGGAAGGTGGTAATTCTTATAATACAGACTATCAAGAGCAGGAATAAGACCACGAAAAGTGGACAGGTCAGGAAGATTCCGAGAGTGAAACTGACGAAAGGAATCATAGGAGCTAATCAGGTCAGTGCCAGTGCGAGGGGAAGATGAAGTGGCATAGGAAAGACCAAAACCAAGAAGTTCAAGCTAATGATGAGTGTGACATAAGACTGATTAGTAACCCAATCAGTGAGAATTTGAACCAAGTGTTGCCGGAGATAAGACGGTAAAGTTTGTTCGGTAATTTAGCATCGTGAATTTCGGAATGAAGGCGAACAGTGTCGAAAGCATAATAAGGTTACAGAGATCATTTAGGAGAAGAAAAGAGAGCATATTAACGGAGGGTGAAGCATCAGCTTGAGACAGTAGAAAGTATGAGTGCCCAAGGCGTTGAATTTAAGGAACTGGAAGCAGACAAAGCGTATTCAGCAAAACAGTCTTGTAAAACACAATGCTGGTTCTTACGACGCCTGGAAGTGAAAAGATCAGCCTCATATATGTGGCTAGTTAATGGTCCAAGTCGGACCAAAACTTTTTTCATAAGTTCCATTCTCCTGTGTACCGATTGTTTCAGTCACGGTATTGTGACTTTTTATTGTTTATGAGCCAGCACATACATGGGAGATGGGTAGAGCCGAGACTAATAGAACGAGAGGAGGTAGTGTTATTGTAGAAGTAGTAGTAGAGGTAGTAGTAGAGGTAGTAGTAGAGGTAGTAGTAGAGGTAGTAGTAGAGGTAGTAGTAGAGGTAAGTAGTAGAGGTAGTAGTAGAGGTAGTAGTAGAGGTAGTAGTAGAGGCAGTAGTAGAGGCAGTAGTAGAGGTAGTAGTAGAGGTAGTAGTAGAGGTAGTAGTAGAGGTAGTAGTAGAGGTAGTAGTAGAGGTAGTAGTAGAGGTAGTAGTAGAGGTAGTAGTAGAGGTAGTAGTAGAGGTAGTAGTAGAGGTAGTAGTAGAGGTAGTAGTAGAGGTAGTAGTAGAGGTAGTAGTAGTGGTAGTAGTAGTGGTAGTAGTAGTAGTACGTAGATAAATATTTCATAGAAACGATTGCCTCACCTCACCTGTCTGCAGTATATAAGCGAATGGAAAAATAAACACACAAGTAGTTCAATGTGATCCTTTATTGACAACGTTTCGCCCACACAGGGAGCTTCATCAAATCACAAACAATAAAAGATGACATTATACTGCTTATGTGTTTATTTTTTCCAGTGGTTCGGTATTTTGTATCATTTACTTCCTTCCAGTACATAAGCGCCTTCGCTCATGGACTGATGAAGCCAATGTTTGGTTAAACATTTCCACAGAAAAGATACTCAAGTGTTGCGCAGTAGTAGTACATAGGAAGTGCAGCAGTGGCAGAGGCGGCAAGAAGGGAGTAGTGGTATTGACAAGAGTCAGAGAGTGTTAGTGTTCTTCAACTCTATATATCCTTGGTTAGGCCTCATTTAGACTATGCTGCACAGTTCTAGTCACCGTATTACAGAATGGATATAAATGCTCTGGAAAACGTACAGAGGAGGATGACAAAGATGATCCCATGTATCAGAAATCTTCCCTATGAGGATAGACTGAGGGCCCTGAATCTGCACTCTCTCGAAAGGCGTAGAATTAGGGGGGATATGATCGAGGTGTATAAATGGAAAACAGGAATAAATAAAGGGGATGTAAATAGCGTGCAGAAAATTTCCAGCCATGACAGGACTCGCAGCAATGGTTTCAAGTTGGAAAAATTCGGATTCAGGAAGGATATAGGAAAGCACTGGTTTGGTAATAGAGTTGTGGATGAGTGGAACAAACTCCCGAGTACAGTTATTGAGGCTAAAATGTTGTGTAATTTTAAAAATAGGTTAGATAAATACATGAGTGGGTGTGGGTGGGTGTGAGTTGACCTGACTAGCTTGTGCTGCTGGGTCTGGTGCAGTGCTCCATCCTTGAGTGGAGATGACCAGGCTAGGTGGGTCATTGGGATAATCCGGGGTGTGGGTCATTGGTCTAATCCGGGGGGGGAAACATGGACCTGCTCCGCTTGGGTCAGTAGGCCTGTTGCAGTGTTCCTTCTTTATGTTCTTATGTTAGGGAAGCAAAAGTTGTAATAATAGTCGTAGTAATAGTATTGGTAATAGAGGAGGTAGCCTAAGATAAGGAAAAAGGACCACTGCAGAACTAACGGCCCACGACGGAAGGATTAAAACGCACGTATGGGGAAAAAACTTGTAGGACAGATAAAAAGGAAAGGCAAAGAAAATATAGGAAAGGAGAAGAGGTAAGGTGAGGAAGAGATGAACTATTGAAGAACTACACTGACAGTGATACTAGAGGAAAAATGTAAATTTCTATCCATTAAGCTAAAAATAGTATGACTTCCTTGTATCCATTTACTACATGTGATATTCTAAATATCTAATTCCATGATCTAAAGTTCAATAAAATGAACATTAATTTGTGTCTCTCATGCTACGCACGGTTTTGCTCTGTTATACTTATTTTGATACACCTGTGGATACACATACAAGCCGCCTGTGTAACAATAAGTACACAGAATGGAGTGAGTACGTCCCTAGTTCACTCTGATATATCATCCGGTGGTTCAAACTCTAATAATGATTTATAGGAAAACGATACGAGAGCGAGACCTCCAGCTTTGTGTGGAAGCCCTGACCATGATGGTACCTTTCTTCACCTTAGTAAGATGGATCCCAGTTCACTTGCTTGATATGGTTTCACTAAGAGCACCATTGTAACACTGATGAAGGATTTATGAAATGCAACTTTGTTGTGAAGAAACCATAGGGTACATTATCTACCATACCTATTGATCCACGTCTACGTGTAGAATATTGAATCACTGAAAAATAGTGATGGCGATGTAGGGTAACAGAAAACCAAGCAGCTCTGCATCTCTGAGATTATTTGAGAATTTTCCTGACAACACACAGGATATGGACAAACACAGCACCTACAGTTGATATTTTTAAATTAGGTGACATTAGTTATGCCAGACGTGGTAAAAACACAGGTGACCTCGTAGTCTTTGACAGAGATATTGCTGATCCAGCGATGGCAGAGATATTGCTGAAGAATAAGACACGGATATGATTAATATGACTAAACCTGTAAAGTAAAAGGACACAAATGCGACTAATGCGAAATTTTATTGTGGCAACGTTTCGCTCTCCAGGAGGTTTATCAAGCCGTTAGTTGATAAAGCACCTGTAAAGCTAAACGTTGCCACAATAAAATGTCACATTAGTTGCATTTGAGTCATTTTACTTTACACATTGTCGGTAATTCTATCAATATTAATTACTAAACCTGACAAGGACCCCTACCAAACGGAACAATATCAGTATTTACAGAGAGAAGTAAATAGAGACAACAGATATAACAGACGAATTTCTGCTCACTCTTCTCCTGACTTTTCATTGCCTCTCCAAATGCGCAATGATGGTATTCATTATTTTTTTAAGCATAAAAATCAAGCTTAGCCAGCATCACCGTCAAGGATGGGAAGTCTCAAAACAAGAATAATGATATTTAGCACTATTCGGTAGAGTTTACGCAAGCTAAAATAAATTACTGTAGTCCTGTAGCTCAGGGAGCTATTCTTCATGGTGCTGTCGTTTCCAAGCTGTGACCTGGGACCTCAAAAAACGTTCAAGGATTAACTCAATCTTTTTTCCTGTTATAAAATCACAGCTTCAGCTTGTAACAAGATTAGATATCTGGGATGTATACATTTCCGAAAGCGTAAAAGGTGAAACTCTCTCTCAAAAAAAAAGTAGTTTGCAAACATGCAGAACTCTTATGCTCGGCTTGTAAAAACTGGAAGGAATTTTTCTAGATTGTTGTTTTCCGTCCCGGTGGATATAGTTGCAAGGTCTGACACCGACTAGTCTTCACTAAATAAATATATTGGTCTTTACGCCAATCGTCGAGATGTCAAGGAAATGGCTACATACTCCAATGAATAGGCAAACACTCGCCTCTTACTCTGGTTACATAGCATTAACAGTATAGTATTAATACGAGTTGCTGACACCTATGGTGTAGTCCTGGCCATGTCATCACGGTGCCTAAATATTAATGTGATGGCTATTGCTCTGGGTCCTGATATTTTCAATGCCCTAGCAATATTCAACTCAATAGGATTATAAGTAACACCTGAAATGCTTATAGAGATATCCTTCCTAAATTCTTTACCTTAGACGACACGCCAAACCCAGAGTCAATAGAGGAATGGCAAGGAAAGGCGAGCCTCCTACCCAAGCTGCAATCAGGGTGGAAAAGGAGGGTGGAGAGCATCTGGGAGGACCACCTTACAGGAAGCTACTCAAGGCTATAGGGAACTAGTAAGATGTACCTTCAAGAAGGATTGCACAGTACAGTCAAAATGTCAGAAATCTTAACTGCAGCGATCTACTTGCGCTTTGTATCAAGGAAAAATAATAATCCTATATTAACTCTCTTTGTAATATTTCATGTTTAATTGGCCTATTAATGATATACATGTGTTAAACTTAAATATTTTTTATTACTAGATATGTTTCTGATTACCTAATTTTTAAAAGGTATTCAATCATAGATTTTTTATACATTTTTGAAAAAAGTTACAATTAGCAAAAATGAGATAAGCAATATTTTTGAATATAATAGTATTTTATTTAAATTTTGTAATATACTGAAATTTGATACGCCTCATCGATGACAAGATACACGGGAAAATGATTCTGTGCCACAATTTTGTCCAGTATGGTGGCAGAGATCAAAGAATGTTATATACAAAATAGCCTGACAGCCAAAAATATTAATTCAGCTATACCCCGAAACTTCCAAATTTCTTATTTTTATCACTAAAGGCAAACTTTATTTACGTATGACACAGATATGGTGCATAACTTTCACATGTGAAATTGAATAAGTAGGTGGTGCACCTGCGATGTCTCTCGCAGGTCTCGGGAACCTCATTAAATATACATAAAATATAACAGAAGTGTGTCTTGAGCAGTGTGGTAGTAGCAGACTATGTCCTCACCAACAGCAAGTGATTAAACACCTGACAAATCCAAATTTTATTGACCACCAATTGAGAAACAATACCTGGAGTTTACCTGAAGCGAATTTCAGGGGTCAACGCCCCGCGGCCCGGTCTGAGACCAGGCCTCGTTGTGCATCAGGTCTGATCAACCTGGGTGTTACTGCTGGCCGCACGTAAACCGACATACAAACCACAGCTCGGCTGATAAGTTACTGACTAGGTGCCTGTCCAGTGCCTTCCTGAAGACAGCCAGGAGTCTATTGGTAACTGTTTTATGTATGCTGGGAGAGAGTTGAATGATCTTGGGCCCCTGACACTTATTGTGTTGTCTTAGTGTACTCCTGGCCCCCCAGCTACTCACTGGGGTGAATGTTCCATCTCTTGCCGAGTCTTTTGCTTTCGTAGGGAGTAATTTTTATGAGCAAGTTTGGTACTAATTCCTCTAGGATTTTCCTGCAATCAAGGGACTTCAACCGTTTTCAGTAATTTAGGTGCATTATCGTACTTAAATGTGCCGTGAAAGTTCTCTGTGCATTTTCCAAGTCAACAATTTCGTCTGCCTTAAAGGGGGCAGTTAGTGTACAACAGTATTCCAGCCTAGTGAGAACGAGTGATCATGGGCTTGGCGTCCCTAGTTTCGAAGGTTCTCTCTCATTTTCCATCCTATTATTTTTCGTGATATCCTCTGACATCGCTCCTAGGTCCTTCACATTAGTTTTTCTCTCTATTGTGTGGTTAGAATTTGTTTTATACTCTGATAAAATTTTAATTTCCTCAAGTTTTCCATATCTGAATTTTCTCTACATTGAACTTCATATAGTTTTCTGAGGCCAATTTAAAAATTTGATTGACGTTGGCTTGAAGTCTCACAGTGTCGTCGATGGAGGATACTGACAGTTTGGGTGTCATCCGCAAAGGAAGACACGGAGCTATGGATTACATCTCTGTGTCAGATATGAGGATGACGAACAGGATTGGAGCGAATACTGTTCCTTGTGGAGCAGAGCTTTTCACTATAGCCGCCTCAGATTTTACTCTGTTAAGTATTACTTTTATGTTATATTTCTTAGGGAGTTATAGATCCATCTACCAACTTTTCCTGTTATTCTTTTGTTACACATTTTGTGCGCTATTACACCATGGTCGCACTTGTCGAAAAGGCTTCGTCCAAGGTCCTGTGTATACCACTACATTTTTGTTCATCCTCTAAGCATCCAGGACCTTGTCATAGTGGTCCAGTAGCTGGGACAGACAGGAGCGACCTGCTCTAAACTCTCATTGCCCTGGGTTGTGTAACTGAAAGGGTATCTACACGTGGTTGGCGAAATGCTTCTTAGAGCCCTTTCCAAGACTTATGACATTGGATGTTTAGCGCTACTGGCTGAAGTTCTTTCAATTGCTCTATTGCCACTTTTGTAGACTGGGCTATGTCTGTTGTTTTATAATGACTGTGGGATAACTCCTATGTCCATGCTCCCTCTCCATAGAATGCTGAAGGGACGCGAACAAGGTTTCTGCCGTTTTGATGACACGGAGTTACAAACAATCCTGGGCCAGGTGCAGAGCGCACAGTTCTGTCATAATTGCCTCTTCGAAATCATGTGGTGTTAGGATAATATCAAAAAGATTTTTGAAGTACCACTTTTGATCACAGCATAAAAAAATAATATAAGTTGGTCTGATTAAAATGCTCACTAAACACCCGAGTCATATTAGGACTTCAGCTCTCTCTCATTTCTTTGCTGTAATCTGTGTAGGTCACACACTCGTCTAAGCAGGGGTGGCAATATTTGTATGTTGTTTTCACGTAGATTTGGCATAAGAGAAGAATATATTTTTGGGCTTCTTTCAATTTCCACTGATGCTTAAAGTCTTCCTGAGATTTCTTGTTCTAGTTGCGTAACATTTAAGCTAAAGTTTACATATTCTGCTATTTCTCTGACCAGTGATTCCCTTCGTTTTTAGATATAACTTGGCCCCTCTCAGCACTCTGTGATTCTTCCCGCCTTCGCCTGTATAGGAAGCGTCTCTTCTATTTTGCCATCTTCTCTTTCTTTTTCTTAATGACAAACTCCATTGAGTAGAACCAAGTGCCACAGAGTCAATTTTTTTCTTATGCATGATTCGGATCCGTGGCTAAATTAGGATATCCTTCCCATAATATTCCATTTGGGACATGGTTCATCACATTGTTCCCAGTTTTTTGTTTTTGCTACGAAGTTGAATTTTGTGAAGGCACCCTATAACTGATCACGATACTGCTTGGTCAGGAGCCCGCACATACATGTCAGTACCCTATTATGCGATCTGAGTGGTAATTGTCTTTGATAGGGTTATACTATAAATCAGACTGTCGTTCATAGTGAAGATGAGTCCACTGTATCTTCTACTCATGTAGGCTATATTTAATAGAGATTTAACATAGATCGTGTGTGTGTACATTTCTCTCATCTGAGCTGCCTCCTGGTGTGATTTTTGCTAAAGCATTATTTGCTACACTCCTCCATTTTTAGGTGTCTCAAGTTAAATAAGCCACCAGTAGGAAGATGATTGGAGCAGGAGTTGTGAGATTTACCAGATAGTGGTCAATTTTCAAAAGCTGTTCTTGTAACTGATATAAGTTTGAATCCAGAGGCTTGTATACAAACCCAACTGACAAGGTTTTGGTTTCGATCTTTAACTGCCAAAACTTCACTACATC